AAATTATCCTAGAATGAAAAAATAGCCACTTCTTATTTTCTATATGAGACTACAAGTACTAAATCTAGCATAACTAGTATCATGCAGTCTTTGGAGTTAATTGTTTCTATGTTTTAGAATTAGAACCTTATCTATAAGCTCAGTCTGCATTTTATTATTGAAATAATATTAGATTTAAAGAAAGGATGCTAATACATATACAGCCTTATAGTGACAATAAATGATCCTGAAACATTTCTATGTACTTCCGTGTGTCTTTTTAATTAATATAAGCTTCTTGGTGTTTTGAGAGATTTTTCGTTAGTCAAATGCTTATTTGAATATCTGTTGATTCTGCAAGATTGAGGAGGAAGAAAGAAAACTAAACGCAGAAATTGAAGAAATAGAGAAACAGAAAGCAGAAAGGAACACACAACTAAGGGAACTAGAGCAAAAGTCAAACCACTTGAGAGAATTGGAGGAGAGGTAAGTTTTTCTATGACTACTTCATTCTTCATACGCGTGATATAAAGCTGCATGTTTTACGCCTTTTGAAATCAATGTGTAACAGGTACTGGCAGGAATTTAATAATTTCCAGTTTCAATTAAATGCACATCAGGTTTCTGGCTAATTCTTTCTTCAACTTCTTCTTTGTCCTTAACTGACTATTAACCTGTGAAGCATTGCTTCTATGCATGTTTTTTCATTCATCTTTATCTATCTGTGCTTGATTTTCTTCTACTGCCTTCTTATCAAAGCAAATACTCTTGATGAACAGGAAGAAAGAGATGCAATATTGGCCAAGGTTGAAATTTCACGAGCACATTTAGAGTTGTTGAAGCAAACTAACGTGCTTGATGATTATTTTCCCATCTCTTGCGATGGAGAATTTGGAACTATTAACAATTTTCGACTTGGACGACTCCCCAAAATTCCCGTAAGAAATTTGACTTTATTTCCCATTTTTAAAACTGTGTTCTTTTACTAATTGAGTTTTTTCTCTTGAGCTGCCTTTTTTTGTATGCCTGCCACAAGTAGAACATGTTCACACTTCACACTTCACACAATCTGACTTGCTCTGACTAATCTGTTTCCATTTTATTCATGAGAAGAAAAACCCTTTTGATGAATATTCCAATTTGAAAGTTATTTTCCTATATTTTGTTTTTCAAGAAATGGAAGCAAGTATTTGATTATGATCTTCATGTTATATTAAAACATTTAGGTTGAGTGGGATGAGATAAATGCTGCCTGGGGCCAAGCTTGCCTTCTTCTCCATGCAATGTGTCAATATTTTGAATCAGAGTTTCAGTATCCTTTCACTGAGGCAACTATACAATCATGTAACTGACAGTGTTAAGCCAAAGCACCAATTCAAAGTCTGGCTAAGTGATGCTTTATAATCTCAGCTTGAGTTGACATTTGTTACCATTTTTGTATGTTTCCCTTTTTGCTGAATTTGTTAAAATGAGATGGGATATGTCTTTAATTAGTACAATTCAGATATCGCATAAAAATTGTCCCTATGGGGAGCAACCCTCAGATAATGGACAACCGCAACAACACTTATGAGCTGTAAGTACCAACAACTTTTGATGATTTGATTCAATGTGTTAAACTATTAGCATCTCTAAATGAATTTTCAAGTACCTGTCGCATGTCGATCTTATTATGTATGTTTTATAGGTTTGGCCCGGTGAATTTGCTTTGGAGCACTGGCTTTGACAAGGCAATGACATTGTTCTTGACTTGTCTCAAGGACTTTGCTGAGTTTGCACATTCTAAAGATCAAGAAAACAACATTCCACCTGAAAAATGTTTTAAATTGCCTTATAAGTAAGCTTCCTGACATTTACTGATTGCAAGTGGTGTAGAAAGAAAATTTCCAATTCTGTTAACTGTTTACATTTTGAAGTTGAAAATAAACTCCAGTTACTACGCATGGTGAAAACATCTGACGCCATGCTATTCCTGGCTTCATGCAGGATTGAGAATGACAAAGTGGAAAAGCACTCTATCACCCTGAGCTCCAATAAGCAGGAAAATTGGACCAAAGCTCTGAAGTATACCCTCTGCAATCTCAAATGGGCTCTGTACTGGTTCATCAGCCGCACAGACTTCCAACCCCTTTCCGCAGCGGTTTCTTCTTCTTCAGAAGCTCCATCTGCTGCAGGCTCTTTGTACGCAAAGCGTGGTCCTAACCCCAAATCCGTAGCCCGGAAATCACCAAACCCGTGATAGAGAACCAAATGTAAGTTATGTAACATACTATCATGTAAAATTGTAAATACTAATAAATATGCAGTTCAATCTTGTGCAATGAACATCATAATTTTGGGTTGTATTATAGTACTCAAAACTTTGTTTCACAAATTACATAAATTAAATGAAAGCTAACAATAAACTAGACTAAACTATTTCAGTAAAGACTTAAACATGAAAACTAGAGGTAGAAGCTTTTATTTTTTGGGGTAAGTATGATAAGTACCAGTTGAAGAAACCTAGCAAAAAGCAAATTAGTGGTACTGGGATTCAGTGGTCCGGTTTATCCACGTTAAATTAGGATCGCCTGCAGCCCCGGGTAAGACCAAGTTCTCTGTGTATGGGATCAAATTAAAATTACGAAGATATCTGCCATAACCAACTCCACGAACTACAATCTTCTTAAGTGATACATCTTTCAAGTTGTAAAGAAATATTTCTGTTGAATCGTCGCTGTCGTCTGCTGATTGGCTGTATTCGTTTATCAAAAGTTGTCCGTTCTTGGTGAAATATGTGGAGTAATAGTAGCCATTCAGGGGACGAGAACTTGACGGAAATCTGAACAATTTTTTCCTAGTTTGTGTTGGCGTACTCTCCCTATTTTCCTCCATTACCCACACATCATAATGTCTAATATTCATATCCAGTGATAAAAGGAAAGCTCATCACACAAAGCGTCCCTCCCAACAACCCTAACCCACAATAAGTTGTATGAAATATTTCATCATCATTCGGAGACGTTTCTTCTCTCAGTATCTCTTTCTCTAAATCACCCACGAGCGGGTGGATGAGATGGAATAGAACTCTTTTAACTTAACTAGAGATCTTGATTTCAAGTCCTGAGAATGCAGTTCCGTTAAAACTCATGAGGAAGAGCTTTGCCGCCTGTTATATTTTACCCAACTCGAGTTCGGATTAGTCGATGGCCCAATGGATTTCCAGATACCGGATGATCCATATCAAAAAAAAAAAAAAAAAATCCCTTTCTCTAAATCAAAACATGCCAGCAGTGGACCAATAGTCGACATGTTGTACCTATTCTCTATTTTGCAGATTCAGTAGATGAATCCATTGACAGCTTGCGGTGATCCCGGACCAACAACAATAGTGTCATTCGACTGTATGTTGCATTGAGCAGTGTTCCAGGAATCAATCTCAACACTGGATACTTACTGATCCGCTTCTAGTATGTCTGATTTTTACAACCTTATACTCATCAACGGAAGGATCATAACCAAAACCCCATTCATCTATGTAGTCTGGTTCCGGAGGTTTCGGGAATTTGCTATATGCCTTCATTGAAGGGTTCCAAAAAGGAGTAATTTCGAATGGATAAATTCATTGGCAACGGACTTAATTGTAAAAGCCCTAGCAAACTACGCAATCAAAGCAACGGTTGAAGGTTTGCAATAACTGTGTAAGTGTTCTTTTATAATATGTTTAACTCGAAAGGAGGGGAGGGAAGGAGAGGGAACAAGAAAAAAAAAATTATTTAATTATCAAATAATTACGAGAGAGGAGAAATAAATCTATTGCTTTTTTTTTTTTTTTAAATTTGTTTACTTATTTGGAGGAGAATGAAAGGATATAATTCCTTCTCCTTCGTTATTTTTAACTCAAACATATAGTCAAAATGCATGTATTCTTTTGATATGATGTTTGTAATTAAATTGAATCAGAGTATATAACAAAATAATAAAGACAAAATATGTAGCTCAAGGGCTAGAACTAGTGGTAAGTAAGTGTCTTATGATTAGGTTAGGCTTGGAGCTTGTTTGGTGTAGTAATTTTGGGATAGCAGTTAACGTTTTTGTTCAAACTATTAAGGATATATGTTCGGTAAACTTATATGCTTGAAAACTACTAAAAACAAGGTGTTTGTAAAAATTGTTATTTAACGTTTTAGGATTAGATGATAGTGATTAGGGCCTAAACAACTCACAAATTTAAAAAACTAAATTACTAGAGCTAGAATACATAAATGCCTCTTTATACTAATACATTACATAATAGTCATCTATCATCCCCCTTAATATGTGCAGGAAGGGAACGAATGCATAAATTGTCGCAAAAGCAGTTGAAAGTGCAAGATGGGAAGAGCCTTAGTGAGAAAATCTGCCCATTGATGACTAGAAGAAACTTGGCACAAAGTAACCAATTGGGAGGCAACACGCTCCCAAACAAGTGCAAATCAATCTCAATGTGCTTTGTACGATGATGCTAAACTGGATTGGTGGCCATGTATAAAGTACTAACATTATAATAATAAACAATAGTAGGAGAAGAAAGTGCAAAGCTAAGTTCAGAAAGTAATTGACGAACCTCTGAAGCCTCAGCAACAGCATTTGTAAAAGCATGATATTCAGCCTTACCATTGGATCGAGAAATTGTAGACTACTTTTTGGAGGACTAGGAAATCAGAGAATTATTGAGGAATAAACAAAAACCAAATGTTGAGTGACGAGTATCTAAACAACTTGCCCAATTAGCATCAGTAGTAAAAACATGGAGACAAAGGGATGAAACTTGATTAAGCTAAAGACCAAAGTGTAGAGTACCTTTCAAATATAGAAGAATCTGTTTAACAGCCTAAAAATGATAAACAATCGGATCATGCATATACTGAGAAACTTGTCAAATAAAGAAAGAGATATCAAGACATGTGAAAGTAATATATTATAAGGCACCAACAAGTCATCGATAGGTAGAAAGATCAAAATAACAAGGATTGTCAATAACAACAAACTTTTTCTTGCTATCAAGTGGAGTACTCACTGGCTTGTAATCTGACATACCATTGTGGTCTAACAACTCAAGAATATACTTAGATTGATGCAAAAATAAATCGTCAAAGTTAAAGCTAGTAGAAATATCCAAGAAATAATTCAAGGCTACCAAATTAGTCATAAGAAACTCTCACTTAAGTAGAGAAATAACCGTAGATAATAAGGCAGAAGTAGAAGTAGTTAAGAGAATGTCATCCACATATAATAATAAAATAGCAATAGAGCCACAAGTCTGACTGATAAACATAGAAGAATCTGTATGTGCCTAAAAGAAACCATGGGAGGTCAACAGAGTAACAAACCGCTAAAACCAAGCTTGAGAAGCCTGCTTGAGTCCATAAAGAGCTTTCTATAACTTGCAAACATAACTCAGACGAGAAGCATCAGTAAAACCAGGAGGTTGGGACATATAAATAGGCTAAGAAAGTTCACCATTCAAAAATGCATTCTTGACATCGAGCTAGTGAATAAACCAACTGTAGGAGATATCAAGTGTCAAGATAGTGCAAATAGTAACAAGCAAAACCGCAGGATTAAATGTGTCACCATAATCAACACCAAGCTATTGAGTAAAACCCTAAGCAACTAAACAAGCCTTGTAATGCTCTATAGAATCATTAGATTTTTGCTTAATGCAATACACCCGTTTGGAGTCAATAACATTAACATGAGGAGAACAAGGAACTAAAACCCAAGTACAGTTGCATAATAGAGCGGTATACTACTCAATCATAGCCTTACACCATTCAAAATGCTTAATAGCATGAGCAAAGGTTTTAGGTTTCGGCATGGAGACAACAGTAGAAACCATAGAGGGCAAGAGACGCATCTTTTTAGTCCCATCTTCAATATGAATAACCATTGGATGATGGTGAGTGAGCTTTGAGGTGGGAGTGGAAGAATAGAGTAAGGATGGAGTCGTGGGTAACTTGGTAGCAGGAGTGGGCAAGGGTGAGCCTGTGGGTAAGGAAGCAATAGGATTAGGTGTGGTCATGAGTGAGGTGGCAGTAATGGAAGGGGACACAACTATGGACTTTGCGAATAGGGAAGTATGAGGTGGGCGAAGATGTGAGGTGGCAGTAAGGGAAGGGGACACAACTATAGACTTTGCGAATAGGGAAGTATGAGGTGGGCGAAGATGTGAGGTGGATTGGGACAATGTGGAAGGTTGGTTTGGGGCTAAAGAATGGACACGGTGCAGGTGGGGCATGGTTGGTAAATGCACAGGATGAAGAGGGAACACTTGGCACACTAATAGAAGATTGAGGCGGAACATTTAAGTGTTGCACAGTAGAGTTAGCCATAGTAGATAATTCTAAAAGCATAAATATAATATCCATAATATCAAATGGAGCTTTAAAAACAGGCACAATAGAAGAGCTAGCCGCAATCACACTAGAAGAGTAAGAAAAACTTACTTCATCAAAAGTTACATGTCGAGAAATAATAATTTTGTGAGTAGCAAGATCAAGACACTGATAGCATTTGTGATGTTATGAATAACCCAAAAAGATACAAAGAGTCAACCAAGGTGCCAATTTATGCGGAACAGTTGCAACTAAATTGGGATAGAAAGCACACCCAAAAACTTACAAATGATCATAAGAAGCCTGCTTCTTATAAAGAACCTCATGAGGAGTTTGAAGTTGTAACCTAGAAGTAGGTAAAATGTAACACCCCACATACCTTAGTGAATAATTTAAAAATTAGTGTCTTTTAGTTTATAGTTTTAGGGATTAAATTAATTGAATTTAAAGTTTGGGGGTTTTAAGTAAAACTTAGTAGAAGTTGAATGGCTCTAACTCAATTATTCCAATTTTCCTTGCCCCATGGCATTGTCCCAACCAAGTTTTTTTTTTCCTTGTCGGTGGGACTTGGATAAGCCTCCAGAAGGCTTTCAAAAGTCCCCATTTTTTTTTCCTGCGTCTTTCAGTCATCCCCTGCATCCTTCTCTTCTTTCTTTCTCCAATCAAGGTTAAGGTATTTTTTTTAGATAAATATAAGTTTTAGTTATGAATTTGGAGTTAGAGTTTTGGGTAGTTTAAATTGGTGAGATTTGACCCTAATCCTTTGGTTTATAAGATTTTTGGATATTAAAATTTCATTAGAAATATCTTTAATTTTGGGGCTTATATGGGAAAGACAGTGAGTTATTCCTTTTATGTTTGATTTGGGTGTGAATTTTTACTTGCCGGAATTATAAGTAAATTGTACTAGTCATATGCACTGTTCATGAATTACTGTTCATGATTACTTTTCATACATCACTGTTCACGCACTATGCTTTAATCTCTTTCAATAGGAAGTCCTAATATTATTTTGGACATATTCTAAATTTGTTTAACATGCGTATGTGTTTGTGGCTATGGAGTAAATGGACCTAAACTTAAAAGCTTGGGGTATACAGTGGACCCTTCGAAGTATTTAGTGGACCTCTGCGCAGTAGAATTAGTACTGTAATTAGTTCTGGTATAGTGTTGCTAGCACACATCAGTAGACTCTATAATGTTGTGTGATTTTTGGTTGTATGCGTTGCACTTATGACATCGTATTTGTGAGCATATAATTTTAGTATATGAATTAAATTTAAATGCCATTAATTATTCCTTGACATGTGTGAGTATTATTTGAGAATTATAATATTATGTGGTTTGGTTTGTTGTATCTCATGCTTTTTGTGTGTATAAGTCTAGGGGTCTCAGGACCCAAGTTTATAGCTTAAACTTATTATTTATTGGGCTTTTAGCTTATAAAATCCCCCCTATTTCAAATCAGTAGATCGAGGTAGCAACCTCTCGGTTTAGGAGCTTTTGGCACAGGACTCGCATGCTCATTGTATGTACAAGCTAGGGCCTCGTGTTTTTTATAGGAAGGCAAATCGATGTGTTACCCAAATAATGACTCAGCTTTTGTTCTTTTGACAAGCTTTGGAGAAGAATTTGCCTCATATAATTTTTGTGTAAATTACCTTTACGTATAAAATCTTTAAATTAATTATAAATGTGCTTAGCTCAACTTATTTTATAACTTTGAATATTTTGGCATTTTTCCAATATACATATATTGATATTTTTTTTGTTAAAGTGATTTTTCCTTTACAAGTATCTATAATCTTCTCTTTTCAAAATGTAAGTTGATTTTCTGAATACAGGCTTTTTTTGAAGAAACATTTTGTATCAGAAGTGTTTTTACTTCCGCTACAATTCTTTATTATAAATCTTATTTCCAAACTCTTCTGGGACTAAAAGTGCCTAGGGAGGTGTGTTATATAAAATATTAAGGAGGTGAATAGCAACATGTAATGCTTCCACCCAAAAGTTGCCAGGTAATTTTGCTTGAAAAAGAAGATAATAAATCATAGTAGTAATTGTTTTATTCATACACTCGGCTTTCCCATTTTGTTGGGGAGTCGAGGGATAGGAAGAGTGCAATTGGATTCCATGGTTTTGAAAATATAAGGAAAATTGTATATTATCAAATTCCTTTCCATTATCACATTGGAGAGCCAGAATTTTAGGACCAAATTGAGTAGAAACATAAGCATAAAATTGAAGAAAATGAGAGAAGACTTCAGATTTAGATTTTAAAGGATATACCCACAAATAATGACTATAATCATCCAAAAATAAAAGATAATATTTAAAACCCTTAAAAGAATGTAGAGGAGAGGTCCACACATCAAAATGATTTCAAAGTAACAGACACAAGATCCTGAAATGGAAGACGAATATGTTTGCCTACTTGACAAGAATGACATAAACTAGAAGAGCTAGCCACTTTCTTCACAAGAAGAAGACCACGATGAATTAATTAAGCAAAAGATGAGGAACTCAGATGACCAAGATGACAATGCCAAAGGTGAGATGAAATAGACACTTGAAAAACCTCTAGAAGATGGACTCGAGTGCTCAGAAAAGGTAGAAAGAGCACTCTTTGTTGTACCTATGATTTTGATGATTACAAAACACATTTGAATGATTAATTTGTTAATTTAAGTGTGTAGTTGAACTTTCAAAAGATTGCAAAATTAAGTGAACTTGGACTGCACAACTAGACGAAAAGCCTGTGAATTGTGTAGAAAGCTAGTTTTAGAAATCTGTAGTCGGCTCTGGTAATTAGAGCTGACTTTAGAACCTGCAGCCAGCTTTATGAGCAAAAGTTTTAAACTTGTAGTTTGGTGTGCACGAAAAATGGATGCAAAGCCGGTTTTAACTTTGCAGCCGACTATGATGGCGCATTTAATGCACAACAGTTAAGTTATTTAAAGATTCTTTAATCTTTTTAAAGTTGGATTTCCAAAGTCAACTTTACATTTTTACAATTGACTTTATGTTTTTGCAGCTGACTCTTAAGAAAAACAGAATGTGCAGCAAGGTTGCAAAGCCAACTCTAGAGTTAAAGCCGGCTCTACTAACAAGTCTGCAACTCGAGCTTACACGATTTACAGAGCATTTAATGACCCGCAATTGCTAGAAACAGCTATTTTTTACCAAGGGGCTATAAATTTGGTTGGTAATAGATTTGAAACAAGTTTTTAAGTATTGTATTGAATATCTTTATCTACCAATTTGTGCTTTAACTTGAGTTTTTGATCTTTGAGTAATCTTTGCTTATAATCCTCTTCTTGTTTTACTTGTGTGTTATCTTGGGGGTGTGATTATTTCTTTAAGAGTGATTGTAGAAAGGATTCTTGGG